AACGTTTCAAATGACGCTGGAATAGACTGAGATGATAAATTGCCTCATTTATGACTCTTGCTTTCAATGCATTGCGCGGTACTCATTGCCACAGTCTCCAAGCCTGTCGAAGATGGCCCGGGATCGAGCTCGGTCGCGACCAAGGGCAATGTGGTTTATGTCCCGCATCTCATCGGCGCTCAGCCGAAACTCGAATACGGAGAGATTTTCGTTGCCATGCGCAGTGACTCCTAGTCGAGTTCCTACTATGACTGCGCCAACGGATGGTTGTTGTAACACCCAGCGTGTCGCAACATTCGTCAGGCTTACGCCATGTTTCCCGGCGACGTCGGCAATAACCGACATTAGTTCCTGGAAATCTGACCAAGCGCCCCAGTTATGGATGACATCCAGATACTGTCATGGTTAGTAGATGGTTCATAGAGCGAGCGAGTGAGTATTTACGATCTGATCTTACTTTTCGCTGTGACGGAGTGAGTTGGGATGACTCGGCGTAAATTTCCGGGATGGGCTGGCCGAGCCATTTCTCGGATAAGAGACCGCCACACTATGTGACGCAGGTTAAACTCAAACTCGTCGGGGTTACGATGAAAAAACAGTCTTACAAAAGTCCCATAGGTAAGAAGTTTCAGTCCATACCTCGCGCACATCTCGCTCATCTTATGGATTGGCCGGGAATCGAGGAGTGAAAACTTTTGATCTAGTCAGCAAAAAAAGGGGTAGTTCAGGGGCACGCAGACGTCTTTACCTGGACCTGGTTCGAGACCAAACCAACCTCACCAGTCTTCCCCAGTAAGTATTGGCAAGCCTCTTCAACGTGCTCCGAATCGAAGTTGCAAAGACCTATGGCGGTCACGAGCTCTGGAGTCTCGTTACTGATAGCTACCAGGTGGGCCAGAATATCCAGGTATTCCTTGGCTTCGTACTAAATTAACATTGATATAAAGTGAGAAGTTCGGCGCAAGTCTAAACCCTCGTGGTGAGCACCTACATCGTACCAGTGAAACTGCAATAGCTCGACTCTGCCGCCAAGCCGTCTGCTTCGCTCCTTCACCGCCGCCAGTACCCATGCCCGCGTGACTGGGACGTTGATGGGACCAAATATACACCACTTCGTAGCCGCGAAGACTGTCTCGCGCACAGGTCCAGACAGCTTCCGCCGGAACGCGCCGTAAACAAGCTCAGCGTCTCCCTAGGTGCACGGTCAGTGGGCGAAGCGAGCACTTTGCAATTTCCCACGATACGGACTCACATAGTGATCGGCCATGTCCACTGCTACCAAGCCGGACGCGACGAGCCCCGCGAGGGCAGACTCCTGTTTCTCCGCCGTACCCGAGCCCCAGGCCGGCGAGGACAGCTGCCAGAAGCCGTTGAACAGGCGAGGCACCTCGATGGGACCAAGTTTGCACGTCTCCAACTTGCCCGTCTGAGAAGGAGGAAGGACGATTGGGTCGCTGGGCCTATCATCATCCCCCGAAGACGCAGGTGCAAAGTCGGGATAGAGGAAATGGCACACATCTTGGACTTGTCTGTCCGCACGCGTAAAGGGGTAACTCAGGCCCGCGGAGCGGCAGTACTCCCGACATTCTGTGAGAGACGTTATCAGTCTTGAGAGGAGCTCCTTGAGTTCCGATGAGGCTTCGGGCTTCGACTCCTTGAGTGCCTGGACCGCCTGGACTACGTCACCACCGAATCTCTCGAGAGCCGCGAACAGGTCCGAATCGTCGTTCCACGACGCGCGCGCCGACGTGATTGCATTGAGGAAATGGGCCAGGCTACTTATGGGGCCATATTATTTGAGCCATCAGCCAGACTGTCCCGAGGTCCCTGAGAAATAACGAACGGCGTTTTTTTTTTTTTTTTTCAGAGACCGACTTACTAGTCTAACGACTCGTGGGCTAGCTTGCAGGAGAACACACACCGCGTAACTCGGAGGTAGTCCTGGCACTTGGGCGAGACCACGTTCGCCTCAGGGAAGAGGCGCGACGCCGGGGTGAGAGCCGGTGGGGATTCGGTGAATCGCTGCCGGACGTGCTGGACGAATGGCTGCTGGTTTACCGCGCCCTGGGAAACGAGTGTCCTCAACGAGGACCTCAGAAGCTCCGGCGACACTACCGTATATGTTGGTTTTCTAGTGCTGGACGACAGACAGAATGGAGAGCTGTCGAGAAGAGAGACTTACGATTGGAAATGAGGACATCGTCCATCATGTTCCTGAGGTTCTTGGTTAATACCATTGGTTCTTTCAGGGGCCGCCGGAGGTTTGATGACGAGCTTACACGTGGCCACCCATCTTGAGTTTTTTCAGCGTTTTCATCTATCTAAGCTGGCCGTCACTGGGTATTGCTCAGGGCCCGCAGGATGAGGAGAAGAAGTCGGCGGTTATGTACGATAAGTATCGCGTTTACAACCGCCAGTACCCGTGGACTCCGTAAGTACTTACCCCACTGCCGGTACTTAGGTAGACTGCAGTAAGTGATAAACCCCGAGCTTTCGGGGAATTTGTTCCATACCCGCAACCACATTATTTCACACGTCAAGTCACCGATATGTCGGTCTTATTCTACTACGAGCATGGCTTTAGAAACAGTATATGTGGCATTCCGAGTCTAGAACAAGAGGATGGATATATGATATGGATGAAATATGTCGAAATACAGAGTGCACGACATCGAGCTGAAGAACCAGCCTGAGACACGACGCTCTACAGTCTATGTAGTCCAGCAGATATGTAAACTCTGAATTTCGGTTTTTTCTCTGGCTCAGTGTTCCATCTAGTGAAGAAGCCCAGAATCATCGCAATTTACCGGTCCTGCTAATAAGTACAAAAATCCAGGGGACGTCTTTGAGAATGAGCTTCAGACCAGCCGGAAGGCATTCTAACCACTTACAGCACCCCGCCCCTTTTTGACAGTACGCGTGGATGTCAACGAGTTTGTTCAGGGGTGCGACACGACTTTATCGGATGCTCGCGGTCCTGTCGTCGCAAATCAGTGTCAGTGCTAACGGCGAGCAGCCGATCGCATTTGTGTACCATTCGGAGATGGAGACGATAGTGCTTGGTGGCTAGGAGCTTTCCGTATCATCTGCAGGACTGCCTGCTGGGCTCATCGAGGTTAGCAAGCTGGCCGACATGGTTATATACTTACCTGGATGGGATGCTGTCATGAAATGCCTGCGAGGCAGAGTATGTACATGCGATACGGGATGCAGATTTCTTGGGGTAGCTGTATTCACAGTTGAGGAGAGTTCGGGCCGCATACATAGAGGGGCGCACCACTCCTGGTTCCGTCGCAGATGCGGAGAGGTCACATACAAGAACTAGAAATAGGGGATCACGATCACCATAAGCCACGGGCAAACCGGTATCTTCATGTCGAGGTCTTGGCTACTGCGCACTGTCAGTGCGTCAGTTGGATTCATGAATATTAGCTACATGAAATATACATGTGTAAAAAGTTCGCTTCATCTATGGAAACTGTGTCGCTGATGAACTTCTTGGGCACTGATCAATGCTCCGGCCGCTGAATGCACCCCTTGACTTCTCCAGTCAAGAATGCCTTTCTCGCATGAGTAATCCCGCCCGCTATCCTCCCATCATTTTTCTGGTGGTTGGTATCTGCCATCCTCAGGTGAGAGCCGATCAATGTCGACCACTCTCTCCATCTTGATGTCCTTCTTAGCCAGCTTTGCTAACACATCCTTGAATAACATACACACACGCACAAAGTAGACGATGGAGCTATCGAGCCTGACTCCCTTTATGTAATCAATATAGGGTACGAAACCAAACCTGTCCCTCACCAAGTTGTCTATCTTTGAGTTGGCCCGGGCATTGCACTGGGGCACCAGCACGAGGAACATCTCGTCCAGAAACGTCATGGTTTCCAAGACCTCTCGGATGAGCGTGTATCGATTGAATCTCTCCCTATAGTCTGGAGGTTCCGAGTGTCGTAGGAAGCCACCTTCGGGAACCAGGATAGCCAGTCGACGGATCATGTTGTTCCAAGGTGTGCGTCGAAGCCACAGGAAGGCTTGCTCGGCGTTGGGCATGCACATATAGAGCAAATTAGACTCCCAATGGACCTGGGCCGGCCGACTGTTGGCCTGCCACATCGTGAAGCCAGGGACGGTGAATTCGGAAAGGAGGACCTGAAGCTTGAGAGATGATCCCACCAGATCCCGGGCGATGTGAACAGTGTTGCGGAGCGGGTAGGCAGAAGCGACGCTATAGGCTTCGGAGTTGGGGCTAGAATGCTGAAGGTTGGAGAGCACTATGTTGGTGCCGGCGTCGACCTCGGTGCAGTTTACTAAGATATGCCCGTCTGAGTTCGCTCCGTAGCTCTCGGGCGCGGGATGAACTAGGTGGATTCGGGAGGAAGTCTGGAAGTGGAACTCCCATACCAACAGCCGCAGCTCGGGCGGCAGCTGGGGGAAGCATGTGAAGGTCTTCAGGGCAGGCATTCTCTGACGAATTTGTGAGCACGGGCAGAGAGGGAGGAATGTAAGAGATTGTATCGGTCCTAGATGTTGACTGGTACTGAATGATCAAATGAATGTCGGTTGAATGTCGCGAGTTGATCGATTAGCTGTTTGATTGAGAGATGCAGGTTGACCGGATGATGGTCGATTACAAGTTGTATCAAGTGCATTGTTCTTCTCAGAGGGGCTGATAATGAGTGTTGTGTTGCTACTTCCCGTCTGGTATGTATTCTATCTCTTTCTTGATGTATTACAGATGCTACCTACCTGATATAGCCTGTCTCTGCTATTTCTCTTTTTCCCTTAGGTTTTTGGAAGTTTCTGTGCTGATGGTGCAAGAGCTTAATGGTGAATGGTGCAGGTTTGACTGCGGAATTGGCGTATCCAGGAGAATTTGGTAGTGGAGCGACTTACCCCGCCATTGCCGACAAAATCCCGTGTGCCAATGGAACCCAGGCTTGGCTACGCATTCATCAGGGTGTATAGCCCGCGTTAACGCCAGGAATTATCAATCATTAGTCAGGATGGCCGAGCGGTTAAGGCGATAGACTCAAGAACCCGGGATTCAGACTCAGATCTGATCTCCGATCTTGATCTGCGAAGCAGATATTCATTCTATTGGGGCAACCCGCGTGGGTTCGATTCCCACTTCTGACACAATTCCTTTTTTTGCTGTTTGTTCCTTCCGCATTTCACGGATGGGATTGTTGCAGATTTTTTGGCCCATCCCGTGGCGCAATGGCAATGGGGAATCCGCTCACCCACCAAATATCGCGATTCCCCCCCCTGACACTTTGCTTAATATTAATAGGGCAACGTTTATGATCTGAGCTGCTTATGTTCGAGTGGAAATTTCAGAATGATCTCTATATTAATATGAACCAAAAAGTTGAGGCTTGTGCGGAGGCTTCCCCCCTTATTCTTCTATCTCGCCCTGTCGGGTTATTGTTATCCTTGTATGAACGAACCAAAATGGGGTTATGAATATCCACCCCTTAAGTGATATATCCCATAAGAGCCAAGAATAATGAGAAAATATCACCCCGTCTGGGGCAGAGGAGGTTTCAAGGCCACCCACCTACTTATTATTCTCTATTTGCTTAACGGGCCTCGATCTTGGGTGTCCGAGGTATTGCTTTGATTGAGTCCGGTGCCTTGATACTCGTCAGCAATGTCCCTGATAGGTAGGTAATATGCAGTTCGTCAGTCAGGCCATGACTACGTTATCATTATGACACGATGCTAACTAAATGCATCAGTGAAGCGGAGGTCATGTGCCAGACAATAGGCGAAGATCATGATTACTGGTGAATTAGGTAGGTAGGTGAACCAAAGTTCGTGATCGAATACCATATTATATGTAATGCTTATATCGAAGATATCAATCCCTGATATCATGGGAAACATGTTTATGATGATTCCTTCCAATGGGCTTGTTTCTGACACTTGCAGCAGCATTTGCATGACAATTGTCAGATGTACATCGTGTGGAAGCAAGAATGTCAAGTGGATGAGACGAGAAGGGGGAAAAGAGTTTGTCTGAATTTGGAGTGCCTGTCCACTAATTATTATATTCAGCATCATTCATGAATCTCCATCGGTTCCAGCCGTTTCTCTCTCCTGCTGACTAGCAGAAGGTGCTTCATCGTCGCACTATGTCCCCAGGATTCAATGGCGCAAGTTCTTGTTTCCATCGAGACGGGACCCCCAATCCATTCAAGGCGCCTTCACCCCCGAGATCTTCTCCAAGCTTTCGACCAATAATCGTTGCTTCCCCTCGTCACTTGCCGCGCCGCTCGGTGTACTCTCGCGGCACTGATACCAGTACTTCCCGGAGACGCCCTCGGCCGCGCCGGACCCCTCCGCCGGCATGACATACGTATCGACCGCTTTCCCGATATCGTCCGGCGCTCCGGAGCCTCCCATCTTGGTCGGCACCCAGCCGGGGTCCAAAGCATTGCACGTCGTCGTCGTCGTGTCCCCTCCGCCTCCCCCTCCCCTAGCCGCCAGCCGCTTGCCGAACCAGAACGCGAGCATGACGTCATGCAGCTTGCTGTCGCTGTAGCTGGCCCCCGGCAGGTCGCGCAGCGAGGCGTCGCCGCCGCGGTGCATGCCGCTGCTGACGAAGACGTAGCGCCTGGGCGGCGGGTCGACGAGGCAGGTCAGCAGGTAGGGCGCCAGCGTGTTGACGGCGAACAGGGCGGGCAGGCCCTCCTTGCCCCGGAGGCCGGCCACGCCGCGCATCAGCCCGGCGTTGTGCACGATGGCGTCCCAGGGCCCCCGCCGGCTGAGCTCGCCGGCCAGCCGCCGGGTCTCCTCGGTGGAGCTCAGGTCCGCGACCAAGACGTCCCGGGCGTCGGGGCAGGCGGCGCGCGCGTCCTCGGCCCGCCGGGCGCTGCGCGCGTGCAGGTAGACCTCGTGGCCGCGCTTGGCGAGGGCCTGGGCCGAGCGGAGGCCGAGACCGTCGGCGGAGCCGGTGATGAATATGCGTGCCATTAGTGGTGATGATGTGGTGCGTCGATTTTCTTCTTTATGTTCTCCTGAATTTGTTTATTTACTTATTTTCGTTCCATTTCTTTCTTTCTGCCAAAGCTGTGGTGGGGATGGTTGGGTCGTATCTATGACGTCTCGAGTCTCGAGATGCGCGGGTAAATTGGGACAGGTTGTTACCTAGGTAGTTAGTGCCTACCTACGTCTCTGTTTCACTACTTCCGAGGTCCAGGAGCTAAGGTAAGCCTTGTCACCCCTTATCCAAACGTTATCAACTTGTACTGCGTAGAGGCTTAGAATGAAATACTGATAATTCAAGTACTGACGCGTCATGGTACTGCCGCCCTGATTGCATGCGAGAATGTAACGATAAGTAGAGTAAGGTCGGCAGAGCGCTGTATAGTTATTGCAGATGCTTGATTCTGACCTAGACCCTCCGAAACGTATATACAAGAGCTGGGCCATATTCTCTTGATGGGCTTTTCTTGTATATGTGCTTACCATATATTTACAAGCCTTGGATAATCCAGAAATGAGAAAAGAACCTCCACCACAGTTTCCAATCACCACTCAACCCCTGAGCCCGTGTAGGGGCACACACACCACCTTCCATCCCTTTCCAATATCACCTAAGCCTCCTGCTTGAACTCGGAGGGGTCTCTAGGGGCTCGCTTCTGGTGCGACGGCATGTTGTTGGGCTGTCTCGCCTGCCAAGTGCCTGCCTGTCGGGAGGTGCACGGGGCGTCATCGCCCAGAGAGCAAGTGACACCACATCTGAGATCTGTCAATGGCCATATTCTGGCAAGATTCGTATGCAGGAGCTTAACTTACGTTCCAATGTTTCGCCACAGGGAGACACTAGTAATTGTTGTGCCAGCTACCCATTGAGACCCAGTTGTGGTCGCCATGCATTGTATGATGCAGGTTGCCTATATACAAATTGTTAGGTCAAGTACCGTGTAGATTTAGGTGCATCCCAGGAAAGGCGAAGAGGGCATTCGTGTGGGATGAACATAATTTCGATACTTACGCATTGGGCTGGGACGTCTACCCAGAGACTGGGGGCAAGTCCGGGAGCCACGCAGTCGGATCTCGCCTCGATATCGGTGGCCCTCGACTCGATATCCGCGCTCTGGATGGCAAGGCCGTTGGCCAGGATGAAGCCGCTCAGGGGCAGGAGGAGAGTAGAGAATTGCATTGCGAGTATGAGAGCTGATATAGCGAATGTAAGTGAGAATGAAGGTTATCGACTATGGTTTTCTTTGATGGTATCTAAGGTTACTAGAAAGAAACTCAAGGGATGTTTGTGCCTCTATATATCTTCGTAACTTCACACTCCTAAGCGAGCTGCATCTTGTAACGTACACGGTGCTTGCTCTAGTAAGAGACACTTCGCGCGTACATGATCTAGCATGATTCTCCTCGGTGACCAGGGTGTATTCCTATTCTACCATGACCTCAAGTTCAGTATGTTTGTTCCACCTGCTCGATAACGACCGATATGCCTGCGTACATGATAGTTAGTGTAAATTTCTATTTCGGTCAACACCCTACATGTCGCTATAGACTTAGTGGCTATTCGGGCTCCAGCCCCAAGCTAGATCGACTTTCGGGGTTCTATATCTTGCCATAATTAGACAAGAGCTAAGGCATGTGAAGCCTCCACGCCTCTGTTGACTGCGGTTGGCCCCGTTCTAATGTCAGCTGAGAATCGAGTAAGGTCTAGTGGCAGTCGTGAAACCGACTTATTTCGAACGGCCTCGCGTAGGGCATGACCTAATTTCAAGACTACTCGGCCCGTGGTGGAAAGTCTTTGCCGTCATCCCGATAGTATGGGCAATTATAATGGGGTTAGTTTAAGCCTTGACTAAGAGACTGCCGCTTGTGGATCTATGGTACAGATCCAGAGTGGGTCGAAGAGGAACATTTTACTCAACTTTAACCTATATCTCCTGACAGCCGGGTCAGTCAACCGGGTCAGCGGCTGCAACCGGTGAGGGCACTAATGTTGATTCGTTTACCGAACCGCCATGCCCCCCCTGAACATCTGATAATTCATTATATAATATACACACAGTATGTTACTATAAGCAAGACCAACACAATTGCCTGGTGCTTCCATCTCCATCTTCTCTTGGTTAACACACTCTTCGTATTTTTAGCCATTGTTCGGAAATTTCAGCCATGCAACCTTCGGTGTCCAGCTTCTCCTCGGCCTCGGAAGGGCCTTCTTTTCTCATTTTCCCGCCCGAGCTGCGCCTCAAGATCTACTCCTACGCCTTGTCTTGGCCTGATCTCGTCGGCTGCTTTCGCCGGTGGCAGCAGAGGATTCAGGATATCGAGAACGGGCTACTGCACGATGAGTCCCGCCCCGGAAATCGACTGATCCCCAAGAGCGCGGTGGAGCTCGGTAATATACTGCCTCGCCGATACACCACACCGACCTGTCTATTACTTTGCCGACAGATCACTGCCGAGGCGCTCCCAGTGCTCTATGCCCAGCCGTTGCGCATCGAGGCGCCTTCTCCCTATAGCGAGGTTCTAGGGAGGCCTGTGGACATTACACACTTCATCTCCGAAGCCGCTCTGCAGAGAGCCTGCCACGTCGTGCTCAAGATGGATCTTGCACGCGAGGCTGCTAGCTGGAGGAGGGTCGTGGATCTTCTCCTTGACGTGTGGCAAGTGGACAACGCTCTCGTGCGGCTGGAGGTCGTCACCGGCCGAGAGATCCTGGTCCCCGTGGGCTATGGCGTTCTGGGCTCCGGCTCACCGAGGTCCCCTAGCTTGGATATAGTCGCCAAGGTATGTCCAAAAACAGCTTTATACTAGCCCTGTGGGGTAATCCTTCAGAAGTACAAACTAAAACCATAAATTTAGCTACAGAGGTTCGGGATCATGGCTGCAGTCCAGTTTCGATGCGAGAGTGGGTAACTCAGCTGGCCTAGCTTTACCGACATCATCATCATCATCGACACTATGAGACGTGACTATCAACACTTTGAATACAGTCGACAGACAGACATGCAAACATTTCTTTTCTTAAAGGCATCATCTTCCTTCCTTTCTTTCCTTCCACTGCTCTCATCCAAACCACATTCGCTTCCCAGACTCATCATCTAAGCCAGTTGTCTTCTCAGTATTGCAACCTTCCCACCATCACCACTTAC